TCATCTCAATAATTGCAATCCTCTACATGCACCAACAATGATTCCACTTCTTCCCTGTGGCTCCTATTTCCATTCCACCCTCCTTCCTAACCCCTCAGAACCTTGTCCCCAGGTAAATGTTGCCTTTTTGATCTTGAATGGTTGACCATTCCATGGTGATCATGCCTCACTACTGTTGTCCTCCCCATATACCTATCCACTGCTTGGTTGAAAATTGGGCAACAAAGGTGAGTTCTGATCCATACCTGAAGGGTGACTGAGGGTCATAGTCTCTTTCTGTCCAGTAAACCTTGCCTTTTTTGTAATTTTGAGTTTTGCTCTGCATTGTCTCCCACCTTGTAATACAATCCCTTTCAGATTAATTGGTAGAGATAGTTGGGCACCATCTAGTTCTTCTAGTCTCAGAGTCATGTAGACTGATATCCATGTGTTCCATTAGTTCATTGGACAAATTGATTCCAATTTTTATCACTATTCTTTCTTCGGCTCATGGAAAGACCAACAGTTGCACCTGAGATGGCTGTTTGTGAGTTTTTACAATCTCAGTAGCTACTCACCAAAGTAGGATGTAGAACATTGTCTTTGTGGACTACGTTATGCCATTGGCTAACTTTTGAAAGTAGATCACCAAGCCTTTCTTCCTAGTATGTCTTAATCTGGAAGCACCACTGAAACCTCTCTATCATGTATAAACCCTGTTGGTATTTGAAATACCACTGGCATATCTTGCAACATCATAGCAATATGAAAGATCCCACAGTATGACAGACTGGCAGGAAGGTGTGGTGGGTTTTGAACAATAGAATCATGCTAATCAAATGAATGTACATATTGTATGTACATGTATGATGTACAATGTGTAAAATACACCAAAATTAAACTTCCTAATGAAATGGAATAGTGTTTGAATTAATGTCCATTTGACATTCTCATTGGAGCCTATGTTGGTCAATAGGCACCTGTGTGAAATACCAGTACCCCAAGGCCACAGTCTGAAAACCATGAATCTAGAACCCTAAACAGGAATTTGATCTTTGCTATTTCAGGCAGTTGATCACTCTGTCTGACTCTTAAGTACTCATTACCTGCTAAGCAGCATGCCTTTGATCCAGTCATAGGACATTTTTCTTTCTCTTGAGTGGAATACTTCAACCCCAGGACTTCTACCCACGGGTGCTTGTGGAAAAATCCAAACTAAGACTAAGTATTCTCCACAAAACACCTCTTCAATCTTTGAAGACTTCTTCTATCCTACCCTAAATTGTGTTTGTTCCAAGTTAAACATTCTTAGTCCTCCAACTAGTCTCATTATTCTTTTTATCATCAACTTTTCATTGTGAACTGGGTGAAGGATTACAGAGCAGAGCAGTCATTCTTATCAGCTATTCTTATAGTTCATATAAAAATTACTTACCAGGTGACCCTACGGAATGCAGAAATCATCAACCAATATCATTAATATCACATGAAAGTAAAATATTGGATATCAGAAGCTGCATCAGTTGGAAAAACAAACAACACAGAAAGTGAGTTTGCTTAAGACCCCCCAAACATAGACACATAAAGCTGGGACAATCACATACATTGATCCAGCTCAGTGGTGTGCACAAGATCACTCATTAGTAGTCCCCAAATCAGGGACATGATGGGCATAGCTCTTATTCTTTTGGGAATATGCCTTAGCAGCTGGATTCAAGAATGTAGGACAGTGCTCAGCATGGGTTCATTTCAGCTGATCTGAATTGACTGCACATTCATCTATAGAGCTAATAGTTAAGTAAAGAAAAGATCTATGTTTGTGCCCATTTTAAAGAAAGGTGACCCAACGAATGCAGAAATCATCAACCAGTATCATTAATATCACATGAAAGTAAAACATTGCTGAAGAGAATGAAAAAAATGGCTGTAACAGGACATTGACAGGAAGCTGCCAGGAATTCAAGCCAGATTGAGAAAAGGATGTGGAGTGAGGGATATCATTACTGCGGTCAGCTGGATCTTAGCAGAAAGCAGAGAATACCAGAAAGATGTTTACTTGTGCTTATTGACTATACAAAAGCATTTGACTGTGTGGATCATAACAAACTATGGATAGCAGTGTGAGGAACAGGTGATCCAGAACACTTAATTGTTATCATGAGGAACCTGTACATAGACCAAGAGGCAGTCATCAAACAGAACAAGGGGATACTGGTCTCCTGGTTTAAGATCAGGAAACATGTGCACCAGGGTTGTATTCTTTCACCATACCTATTCAATCTTGTGTGCTAAGTAAGTCATTCAAGAAGCTGGATTATATGAAGAAGAAGGTGGCATCAAGATTAGAGGAAGACTCATTACAATGTGATACGGAGATGACACAATCTTGCTTGTTGAAAGGAAAGAGACCTGTGCTTCTCTTTGGAGAACCATTCCTTGGAAATCCTATATTATGAGACAGAGTCAACTCAACGGCACCAACAACAACTTATGTATGTGTGTATGTTGTTGTTGTTATTATTAAGGGCTGGCGAGTGGGTTCTGACTCACAGCAGCCCTGTGTAGCGTTTCAAAAGAGCAGCCTGGTGGGTTTGAACTGCCAACCTTGCAGTTAGCAGTTCAGTGCTTATCCTACAGTACCACACCAGAACTCCGTATGTGTGTAAATATACATAATTTTTCCATATCCATATATATGATATGTAGAAATTACAAATGTAAATATGAGTGAGCTTCAAAAGTTTGTGGGAAAATGAAGTGAAAAGATAATGGAATTTTTCTATAGACTTTTGGAAGCCCCATTCATATATATTGTATGTATATAAATTTGTATTCATTTCCCAGTAAATGTGATATGTAAAATTACAAATACACATACACACATCTGTATTTTTCAAATATCACATTTTCATGGAAAAATTATCTCTGATAAAGAATGAGACAAAATAGAGTCATTTTATACTGATAATACGGGATTTGGGCTATGTCTAACTTCCAGTTCTGTCACTTGTCCATTGTGACCCCAGTTGTCCACAGTGGTAACCCACTCAGAAGCATGTCCTGTATTGATTTTGCCCACTGCCTGTCTTAGTTTCCCTACTTCCTCACTTTTATATCCTGGAATCACCTTGTATGGAAATAACCTGTAAAAAGTCCATCTATCTTGAGGCCTATTTTTGGGGAGTTCATATTAAGACAAATTGTAAAATTCATGTTGTTGCTGTTACTGACATTGTTTTTAATTACACAACATTCTCTTCAAATATAATAATTAACATAAGTTTCTGATCTGTTTAAACCTGAAGATAATACTTTTAAGGTTTGAAAAGGTCAAGAATACTAAAGGCCCATGGACTGAGAAACGTAAGTAGTGTGCCTGCAGGCAGGAGGCTGGCTTGTAAAATGTGCCCTTTGGACATTTAAATGAATATATATTTTCAGTGTAGCATGTGTAAATTAAAAAAAACAAAAAAAAACAACACCACAGGAATAGAGGTAAATACTGTTTGTTAACTGATGGTACATGGAAGAGAGTGAAATCATTGTAATGATTTGTTGAATGTAAACCTTCACTCAATTCACAATAAAAATTTTAAAAATAAATAAATAAATAACAGAGAACAATGTCAGCAAAGCAGCAAGACATTCCCCTATTTACTTAAGTATTCATCTTGCCAGAAGTAGCCTTAACTTCAAAGCAGGGTGATGGTGGTTTTGAAGGGACTCTATTCTAATAGATACAGATATAGATGCAATTTCTTCCTACCTATTAAACCCACTCACCCACCCACTGTCATTGAGTTGATTATAACTCATAATGAATATTATATAGGCTAAAGAAGAAATACTCCAATTTCCAATGTTGTAAGTTTTGGAAGACTTACAAAAGCAGACAGCCTCATTTTTCTCCCACATCTATTAAACATTAGATTTTTTTAAATGTACCTAAAAAATAGGATGTTATTTCTCAATTCAAGAAAGAACTCAATTTCTAATATTAAAAAAAACAAACAAACAATAAACATGATCAAAGTGTTTGAATATAGAAAACAAAGACAGTAATCCCAAAATGCATTCTAGATTTATCAACTTTGTACACATATTTTAGGAGATTTTGAGAGATTTCAAAATAATATCTAAAAATAACCATAATTTTATTTTAGTAAAACAATAGTCTCAGCTTCCGGCAGTTGACTGGGACTATAGGCTGATACAGTTTTAGATTTCAAAATGTACATATATGTAGAGCTCTCCTGTGAAAATCCACGATGGTACAATCCACCAAGGTGTAATGGATTACTTACAACATAAACTCTGCAATGTATCCCAGTCCAAAGATGCCAGACAATAAGCTATACATGTTGGCTAATAAATTCACATAACATGTTTTTTTTTTTTTTTTTAGAAAATATATTCTAACCATTTATTAAGCAAAATGGAAATTTCTAATAGCTAGCATTTTTTCTACATTTGAAATTGAAGAGAAAAGAAACTTATGTTCTACCATATACATTATTTTAAAAGAGTTTATTATAAACCTAGAACAGTTAAAATGCCTTCTCAGTGTGCAGTGTTTTCTAGTGATTAGGATTCCTTGTCCTTTGGTGAAGTGCTGAGGCATTTTTCTTGTGAAAAAATCAGTTTGTCAAAGGGGATGGATTACTAATACAACCTTCCCTTCATTCAGCCCCGTCCCTCAGTTTCTTTTACCAATAGAACAGGTAGAAGTCCATGGTTCTATTTTGGTTCCCAAGATATGTATGAATTCTTTTAATCTAGAAAAGAATTCAAACAGCTTGGATATATCAAAGGCTGGAGGTTGTTTTTACTACCCTGTTTACTCACAGTTACTCACATTGTCCAGGTTTTCTGGGTGGTTTTGCTCACGTGCTGTCACTGTGCATGTAGCTACAGCGAGGAGTGTGTGGGAGACATGCTGAATAATGTACAGCACCCAATAGGAAGAGCAACAGATCTGCGGAATTGGAATTACTATTCTCCCAGACTCTGAAAGCAAATGATTACTTGTGCCTTGCAGAATCTGGGGGCTCTATTCCCAGGTGCAAAGTACATTTTCCAGGTTTCTCTAGGGCAAAAGCAGGGTGAACACCCTCATTAAACCTGTGCCTAATGGTGAAGAGCAATTGTCCACTTTCAGCATTTATGAAGAGAAGTCTCTGGTTGTTGTAGTCCAGCAGAATGCCCACTCTGGCTGGGTGCTCGGTCACATGAACATCACTCATGATGCCACTGTAGAAAAATGTGTATCTGAAATGCAACAGAAAGGAAGTAGAAACTTGAGAAATCTTGAAGGAACATGATAAAGAGCATCACTTGGAAATAAACATTTATTCAGTTACTAACTTCAATTTACAATAATGAGTTACAAAAATGTTGTCCAAAATACTTAACCAGATACCTCCTAGCACTAAAAATGTATAACTCATCCCAACAGACAAGCATTCTTAATAATTTTGCTCCTTCTACATTAGGAGGCAATCCCAGAATAACCAACATATGCCTCCCTTGTGATTTTTCTCAACATTCTAATTCTTTCCCAGCTGCCCACATGTTTTAACTACTGCATTCATGGTGTGTCATTCTTTTGAATAAAACTCTTTTGAGGCTGCCATGTATTTTAAAAAGTACTGCAGGCTTGCCTTCCATACAATGTATTAATTTTGCAGTTTAAAAAATTTATACGTAACTTACATAAGGGCCTTTATGAAATTTAAGTAGGAATTCTATTCTTTTTGCCCAACTTTGTTATCCTTTATATATACTCTCTGTGCCCCCAAACAACTTTCTGTTTCATCTTCTCAGTGTTTTCTGTAGACTTGTTGCAAGGGGGATTGCCTTTGGTTTCTCTCTTCTATTCAGATAAATTTAATTCAACAAAAATTCATTGAACTTATTTGAGGGTCTAGCATATTATACTCTGGGGGGTGGGGAGTAGGGGGATAAAGGACACACAGAAGACAGTCCTTGCCCTTTCTCTGAGAACCTTACCATACAAAGCAAGAAGGAAAAAGTTGTTAATGACTTAAACATAGACTTGTTATTGTTGTTAGGTATCAAGTCGGTTCCAACTCATAGCAATCCTGTATAGGGTTTTCAAGGGGCCACTGGTTGTTTGAACCAGCAACTTTGTGGTTAGCAGTTCAGTGCTTAACCTACAGTATCACACACAGACTGGGAATGAGAATTCATCGCAGATATTGATAGTTAAAATGTTAACTAAGCACATTTAATGGACCTTTTTTGATTGTGAAAGGGAAGGTTCAAGGGCAGGCTTAGAGAGAGAAATGCTGAAAAGAAATAACAAAATTACTCTGTACCGCAAATTTGTTGTTGTTGTTTTTTTTCCTGGCAGCCTTAGAAACTGAAGGTGGGGTCCTAAAACTAGGGGGAGGGAAGAAATGGGAAATAAAAGAGATGAGGGAAAAGTCTATGAGTATGACAGTGATGAGGGGTGGGCAACATGTAACAATGTAATCTGTGACCTAAGAATTTGGCTAAGTGATGCTAGAGTGGTAGGTAAGTCCAAGAACCTTAAAGACTTGAAAGTCCAGAACATTGAGTGCAAGATAGGTTTGGTGGTAGTTATGTGCTGTGGAGTCGGTTCCGACTATAGTGGCCCTGAACAGGGTTTCTGAGGCTGTAAATCTTTACGGGAGCAGAAAGCCTCATATTTCTCCCGTGGAACAGCTGGTAGTTTCAAACTGCTGACCTTGAAGTTCACAGCCCGATTTGTAACCACTACACTACCAGAGGTTTAGGGGAAGGCAATTGGACAATTTCATTGCAGAAGGAAGCCCAAGTATAGGTGCAGTGGTTCATGGGAATGGGGAGATATGTGAGAATTACACAATAATAAAGGACATTTTCAGTAACTTGCTAATGTACGATACGATGAGATTTGTAGGACAAACAAACAGGCAATGATGGGGCTCTTACAGAAGGTTTCCTGGAGCAGTTGGGCTCATACTCAGCCATAAAACAATAGGTTGAACTGGATGGTGCAAAAGACAAAGAAGAGGTCCAAGCAGTGGGACCAGTAGAAACACTGATAAAGTAGCAAAGTACACCTGTATGTTATAGAGAACACCACCATGTGCCCAACGGGTTTGGAGGGACATGGGAATGACCTTTAGGAGATTACATAGAAAGAAGTCAGGGGTCAGGTTCTAGATCTGTACTGCTCAGTATGGTAGCCATTAGCCCCATGTGGGTATTTTAATAAATCTAATTTAAATTAAATTGAAAATTCAGTTCCTCCATCTCACTAGTCACATTTCATGAGAACTATATCCAAATATTATAGCATTTTTCTATATTTTTAGAATGTTTTATTACACAGGCCTGTTCGGTAGGACTCCAAATGCCCAAATAAGCCATTTTCTCGTCCTATTTGGAAAGTCTCTGGTGTCTACATGACTACCTACTCCTGGTCAGCTCCTGGGCCAAAGCCCCATTCTAGAGGAAGACATTTCTTGAGGCCTTGGTTCCACCAGATCCACAGAATGTGGCGTCTACCCTGCCCTGGTTCTGCCTCATTTCCTACTGAGCACCCATTAACCTGAATTCTTCTCTGAAACCAAGTCTGTTTGCACGGGCCAGACTCCCTCCCCAGCTTGCCTGCCCTGGTCTCTGTTCAATCATGTTGTTGTTTCTGAGGAACGGCTGGTGAATTTGAACTTTCTGACCTCATGGTCAAACTGACCTGGCAGTCCAGCGCATTAACCCACAACACCACACAAGGAATCCCATGGTCCATTCAAAAGTCTGACTCTTGACACCTATGAGACGAGGACTGCCTTTCTGAGGCCCCATTTCAGACTGGACCCACCGATTTGCTTGCCCAGATTGAGCCCAGATCCCATGGGACACTATCCTTAAAGTGGCTGCTATTCTGGAGGGCTCCTCATGCCCAACCTGGTTCGCTTTTCATTGTGCCCTAAAGCTGATCCCACTTGAGCTCTGACACCACTGTAGATTTTTGAGCAGAAAAGGAAGGACCACAATGAAATACTGTTGTAGAAGCATTTGCTAATTGTGACACATAAGATAGACTGGAATGAGTAGAAACCAGAGGTGTGGTAGATATTGAAGATACTGGTAAAGGATGTGAGGAAGCTTGAACTAGCATTAGGAATGGACAGGAAGAAACAAGTCCAAATCTAGTAGATTCTTCCTCCAGAGACTCTCTTTATTTATCCTTCCCTTGGAGTCCTGGAGTGGTGCTGTGGGTTAATTGCTGGACTTCAAAGTTGGCTTGAACTGCAAGGTCAGTGGTTCAAGTTCACGAGCTACTGCTCAGAAACCCTATACAAGGCCACTGTGAGTTGGAACCAACTCAATGGTACTTAACAGCAGCGCTCATATACCATACAAGTAGGGTGAAGAGCACTACAGCTTGGTTTAAAATCATTAGGTCAGAAAAGGTGAAAAATAAAAGAAGGATTTTCACAGACCCATAGCTTCCTGAAGGCTGAGGGTGCTCTACCTGAAGTTTCTTGAACATGGAAAGATGACACCTAAAACCTGACCTGTGACAGCGCAGGCTAGCACACTTTTCCTTCCAGCATCTAACGTACCCACGCTAGACTGGGGAAAGCTGAAGACCACCGTTGTAGATTGACTTGTCAATCAACTATACAATTCTGTTTTCTAGTCTTGTTGCTAGTTGTCATTGCCATTGAGTTGGTTTCGACTCATAGCAATCCCATGTGTGCAGAGTAGAACTGCTCCAAAGGGTTTTCAAAGCTGTAACCTTTCAGAAGCAGAGCTCTAGGCTTGTCTCCCAACATGCCTCTGAGTGGGTTTGAACAGCCAACCTCTCATCCAGTAGTCAAGTATTTGAAGGCTCGCCTTTGGGTTAGGTTTTTAAGGGGTCAGGCATCTAAGAAAGTTTTCATGAAATCAAAATCTTGTTCCAGCTGTAAATCTATTCATTGTAAACTTTGAGTTTGAGGGATTTTAAACACTGAGGAGGCATTGGGTCCTTAAGCAGTGCACGGCACTGATTATCAATCATAATTGCTCTGATTTGATGAACTGTGACTTTAAATAGTGACTTTAAATAGCATTTGGAGCTGGTGTCCCTATGAACTATCTAAAAGAATCTGCGTTGAGCAGGATGCAGGGAGAAATATAAAAAATGTGAAAAAGAGAGATATGCCAAATCCTAATCTGTGGGCCTTTTCTAAAACCTTGCAAACACTGAAGGCTTCATTTTTAAAGCACTACATTTAATAATTCTTTACATTAGTATGATAACTCTGGTTGTAACCTTAAAGGTAGCAGACCAAAGTCTGTGGGTCAAGTATTTTGCTCATAACAACCATCAACACTCATTGAAGCCACAGTCAAGAAATCAAACGAAGTATTGCATTAGGCAAATTTACTTCACAAGACCTCTTTAAAGTGTTCAAGAGC